AGTCAAAATCTGGGATATTACCAGTTTAGTAAAACGGTTGTTCTTCGGTAATATCATCGGTTTAGAAAAATGACCGAAGACCAACCATTTTTCTAAACTGGTAATATCCCAGATTTTGACTAAATCTTGTCAATGTCCGGTATGGACAATTCTATCCTTAGGGAAATTTATAAAATGGTTTGACTATTCTACCTTTTAGCAAAATGACTAAAATTGCTTATTTTTATGTCATTCTTTGTAATATTTTACCATTTTATTCTTATTTTTTTGTCAAACTTTTTCAAAATAAAGGTCTAACCAAAAATTAACTAAAATGGTAAGATATTACAAAAAAAAATGGCATAAGAAATAAGCAATTTTAGTCATTTCCCTAAGGATAGGATATTCAAACCATTTTATAAATTTCAAAAATGTTTGACCAAAAATTAACATTAAAATGGTAAGATATTACAAAGAATGGCAATAAAATAGGTAATTTTAGTTATTATTAAGGATATAATAGTCAAACCTTTTTATATTTTTAAATCCAAAAGAAAAACTGTTTTGTAAGCTCTATAAGTAGTAGGAAACATTTTAACATCTGAAAAAACCAAAAGCCTATTCCAAGTTTGTTTTTCAACCGATAAAAATATGGAAACACAAGCGGCATTGAGAATATTGTTCTTAACCTTTGCCATTGTATGTGTCTTCTACAATGGAGTCTACGGAAGAGCTTCTCAGGAGATTGATATGATATTGACGACTCTTAATAAACCTGCGTTAAAGACGATCAAGGTATATATATTTGAAACCTTGATATATTACGTTTTGTGTCTATATTTTTGGTTTCTGAGTTCCCAAATCGATTATATTTTATTTGTAGAGCGAAGACGGAGATATAATAGATTGTGTGGATATTTATAAACAACCAGCTTTTGATCATCCCGACTTAAAAAACCACAAGATTCAAGTAATCAAATTCTACTCACGCATGGCGTTGTTTGGTTCATACTCAACTCTATATGATGTTTCCGAATTACTCGTTCTACATTTATGCATGCAGATGGAACCAAGTGTGGAGTTTGTTTCAAAGAAGACTAATAGTCCGAAGAACAACTCTAAACCGGTAATATCCCAGATTTGGACCAAATCTGGTAGATGCCCGGCAGGAACAATACCGATTCGTAGAGTCAGTAGAGCAGACATAATCAGAGCCTCTTCACCGTCACAATTTGGAAGAAAAACTCCTCACGTATACAATTTTCTCGACAAAGCATACCAACACAAGTCTAATATAAGTTTAACCGCTGAAAAAATAAGCAAGCCCCACCCAAAAGACCGATCGGTATGTAAATTATATAATGTTGAATGCATTGGTATGAAATTTTTCTTCTGGATTTTATTTTTCAGCTTTCATACTATGATTTTGATTCACATAATTTGAAAAGATACTTGTCCATGTTATAAGGAAACCAATTTGTTTGGAAAAAAAACTTTGAATAGATGACACAAAGGTTTTTCAACTTCTATACACCAAATTAAAGAAAAAAATCATTTCCATTCAAGGCCTAATTCTGAGACTCTTAGCTAACCGAAAAAAACTAAATTAATCTTCATAATTCATATGGTGAACTTAAAACCTCTCTTTTTGTTAATGATAAAGGAGGCGGTTCTTCTCGAGGTAGGGAGAAATTATATCGGCGCTATATCCGATATAAATGTTTGGAACCCTTCGGGAGTTCAAGCAGGCGATTACAGTTCTGCACAGATTTGGCTGCTTGCTGGAGTCGTAGATGTATTTGAAACCATAGAAGCTGGTTGGGTGGTAAATTCTTTTATACGTAGAAATATTATATTTCGCTTTAGAATTAAACCATAAGCAACTCGCTGTAAAACGGTTATCATACAATATTTCAGGTGAATCCACAGGTTTTCGGAGACAGCCGCACACGGCTCTTCACCTATTGGACTGTAAGTAGTATCATGGCATCACTATGATATGAATGTTTACAAATCCGAAAGACGCATTCATATAACTAGAAATAGGGAATTATAAGGACCTCATGATATTGAAGTATATTTACAAATTAAATATCAAGTCATGCACAGGTATGGAAAAATCTCATTTCGCTTTCATGAATTTATACAACTATTCTTTGAATTTGGGTTTGCAGAAAGATTCATACAAGAAAACAGGTTGCTTCAACCTCTTATGCTCAGGCTTCGTGCAAACAAGTACTCATTACTCCCTAGGTGCAACCATATACCCCGTTTCGACTACCTCGCATAAACAATATGACATCACCGTTGCCATCTTTCTGGTAATAATTTTGTACTTTTTTATCACCATCCATTACATACTACAAAATTATGTTCTGTTTTTAGATTTACCATCTTTAGTCTACTCTTTTTCATAATATCCCTCCTCGTAAAGAGTGATTGAGTTAGGAGCGCAATAGAACCAACTACAAATGCTAACCACCAATAAAAACACATGTACGTACTTTTGTAGCTCTTATGTTTTATATATCTTCCATCGTGTTTCCAGGATCCGAACAGCGGGAACTGGTGGATGTCGACCCAGGACATCATATTTGGATACTGGCCAGGGAAACTCTTCCGAAGCATAAACCGCAGGGCCACAGCAGTCCAGTGGGGTGGAGAAGTCCATAGTCGTAACGTGAGGCAGAAGCCACACACTAAAACTCCTATGGGGAGTGGAGCTTGGGCATCTTCTCTCCGGGGCAAAGCTTGTTACCACACCAACATTAGGATCAAAGACTATTCCATGCAGATCAAGCATCCTGAGTTTCTATCCGAGTCCTCAGATGAGTACAATTGTTATTCTACAAAGCGCCATCGATATGAAAACGAGACACAGCCGTTTTTCTATTTCGGAGGACCTGGCCGGAATTCTAGATGTCTTTGATTCATATCGTTTATAGTCAGTGCCGTACCTAAATTTTCGGAAGCATAAGTCGAACTTTACTTAAAATAAAAAAT